CTCCGTACTTTGAGCCTCGGGCCCAAGTTTGCATCAGAATTAGAGACGTCGCCACCGAAACTTATAGCCATGGTGCGACAATTTTCGCGCCATGTACCCGAACAAGAGCAACCACACTCCCTCCCAGAAGGCATCGACGCCGTTTCGCGCTATATTTCAGCAGCTGGGATCCAAAATTCTTCTCGGGAGAGTTGAGGCCTTTGTCAAGGAGCACTTTTTGACTGTTCTTCCGCTGATAAAGAAGGAGGCTGCGCCATCCTGACTCTTGGACTGTTTGGATCTAAGGCTCACACCACCGTGAGTTCTGTTTTCTTCGCTCGTGAGGATGTCCGCATTGATAAAGTAAATCGGAAGCAAAAAAGCTGTGCAAAGACATCAACCTCTCGTGCGTTGTTGGTGGCAGCACAGATAGTAAGCATGACTTTCTAAAAGGGTTTTTATCAGAAAAACTAACAAAGCAATATTCCTCTTAGTGCGATTGTTTCAGAATGTGATACAAGGCAAAATCGATTGGTACAATTTTGCAAGAACCTGTAGTTCAACCGACATGACGTTGATGATCCGTTCGTCGCATAAAAGTTCTGATAAAGTCATAGATTTTGTGAAAACTTGTGTCGATGAGCATGTTTATGGTTTTTCAGTCGACGTGACTGGTTTCTATTATTCTATTAGCCATGATGAGCTGCTTTGTGTGGGTAAAGAGTGCATAGGTTTCTTTGGCTCTGTTGGAATTCAATCCCAGTGTGCTGATCCTGTCAGTCGGTTTTAACTTTTTACAATTTTATCTGAAGTCGACCTACATTTCACGGTATGACAATCCCTTTAATCAAAAGGACGGTATCTGTATCGGGTCATGCAGAGTGCTCATCTTAATTGACATATTTTTATTTAAATTGATAGATCGATTAACCTACATCTTGATAATTTGAAAAAAAAAAGAGTTCCGGTTTGTGGATGACTATTCGGTTTTGCTTACAAACGACACGGTAGCGGACAAGGCAGGTTTCGTAAAAATAATTTCGCATTTTTGTTAGTGTTTTAAACCCATAACTCTTACGCATGAACCGCCTGAGAGCAACCATCAGAGATTGTTTTCGGTATGCATTACGAAAATCTTGTGAGCACGAAATCGCCATTATATTAATTTATCATTCAGACCAATTGACGAAAGCAGGTCATCCTCTGCACGTTCAAACTTCAGTTGCAGAAGACCTGCTTCGTACGCTTCACAACTCAGGATGTATAGCTCGTCATGATGTTGAGGAACCAAAGCACCTAGTCATCGTAAAATAATATCACAAAATTTCGCACAACCTAATAAAATTAGCTAAGCGCTCTGAAGTTAGGGTTGTCTTTTTGTCTACCAAGAAGTTGACCAGCATTTGAGGCCTTCATGATGGTGACGGTAAACTCAAACATTCAAATGAGAAGCATAGAAATGTTTTTGTTCCCCGCACCATTTGCGTTGTTTATGGCATCACGCTCTCTTGTGGTAAATAGTATATTTGACAGACGGGCCATTGCCTTAATTATAGATTAGGAGAACATAGTAATAACGTGAAAGAACTGCCATAGGAGTTGGCTAGCGATTCATTGTGAGTCCTGCGGCTGCGCATCGATATTCATTGCATGCACAGTTATTAAGAAAACTTTTGGCAAGCTTACTAGAGAGATTACCGAGGCTGAGGCTACCGCATCACTGGGGTCTAAGTGCGTCAGCACTCCGTAGCTTATGCTCAGTGATATTGACTTGTATTTTCCAAGAAATAATTGTTTGTGCGCATCACACCTATCATGTGATGTTATTCTTCTAGTATTTTAGTCCAGCGTGCTGGTGGTAATAAACATTATGTTGGAAGTTAGAGCATGTGTCGTGTGTCTTCTTCTTGTGTCCCCGTTTCTTAGCGCTATTTACAGACGTCACAATACACCAACAAACCAAATTTTGACAGTTCTGCGCAGCACATTTGCGAGAAAATCGTTTTTCAGCTCAAGAAAGTGAGTCGCCACTCTCGCTGTTTGGTTTTCTTTGTGCGAGTACATGTATTCGAATTCAGTGCATATGTGATATTGTGTGAAAAGTGCAGTTATGCTTAGTATCGGTACCTGTAGTGTTTGCCGATTGCTTAAAGTTCTAACGAGCGCAATAACAGAGAAGTTGTGAATCTGGACAAATGCTTGCTAGCTAAAGCTATAGGGCTTGACCTTTGAGTAATCACTCATGCCTTGTTAACAGCTTGCATGATACCTGAAATTGCTTTGTTTTTGCTGTGGCAATTGCTTATAACCTTTTAAGTTTTTTTTTTGCGAAAGAGATTTGAAATGCATAGCAGAACATTTGTGCGAAGGTGGGAAAAAAATGTAGCCGACATTTTTCTCTTCTTTCTACGGTTCATGCCGGAGTAAATTTCTGCGGAAACTACTGCCGGGTTGCGCTGTGCAGTGTACACTATGAACTAAAATGGACCAAGATAGGAGTAAACGACTGGTCCTATAGCGCATGCCTCGTCGGGGGTTTTATAAACACCATCCGGAGGGAGTAAAAAATTTACTCCCCAAATGAAGGGGGTTTTCGGAAGGATTTAGGGGAGTTTTCTTTCTCCGGCCATCCCAATCACCGCTGTCCTCAGCAAAATGAACAAGTATCGCCTCGCACGTCCGGTTACCGTGAGAGGGCGCGGATTCCGGCAGCAGCAGAGAACGCGGCAGACTACAGAGCACATGCACGGTATTTCTGCGTGCGCATGGTTTTTTAGGAGCGCAGCTCCTAAGGCCTTGGGTCGTTCTCTTTTCAAGTAGTGTGTAGCCACTTCTAGTTTATGAGTTGCTCTACAGAGAGCGTTGTGTGTATGTGTCCTTGGGAGTAACATAATTAGATGCCGTTAGTCGTTTTCACATCATATCTACAGAATGACTGATGATGAGTGGGGCGAAGCGTCCATCCTCCACTTCATGTGTCCATCCGTCCGTGCGTTCCCCGTTCACCCATCCATGTGTCCGTTCGTCTGGCTGTCCGTCTACGCTTCCGTCTGTCCATCCGTGCTTCCGTCCATCTATCAGTCCGTCCGTCGGTTCAGACGCATGGACGGACAGAAAGTTGGTTCGCCCCACTCATCATCATTCCCTCCGTGGATATAGTGTGTTTTTTACGCGTACGAGCAAAAATCGCCGCCAGAATCCTCTGACTAAACTGAAGAAAAGTATTTTTTTTGTGTTACTGCATTTATTTTGGTCCAATTCGGTACGAGGAGGTATTGATTCGTCTGTGGCAATGTTACTTTTTTTTAATCACGGGCCATTGTTTCTCGCTGATAAAACTCAATTTCAGAAGGTATAGTGGCATTCTAGCATTCTTCCTTTCTGAAGACATGTATGTGAGAAAACTGGGCCAATTATCGTCTTTACATCGTATTCCTCTACTATCCTGACTCATAATTCTACAATTATATCCCGTACGAATATTTATGAGGGGGTCAACCGAAGCACAGTTACGCTTTATATAAGTCAGTGCCCTGGTCATGTCACTGAAACAAAGTAAGAAGTATTATTGCCGGAATATTGTTGAATGCTTCGATTAGCCAGCATACGTTCACTCCCCACGTCTTTCACAGCGAAAGCAACTGAGTTGTCATCTTCTTTTTTTTTTTTTCGTCATCTGAATTTTGATTAAGTTTTCGTAGCACAATGACCATACTAGTGGGGTGTTCATTTACTGTACTCTCGACTGCATTCAAATCAAAAGGCCGGAAATGTAGCATAACTTCGTCTTTCTAATGAAAACTAAGTATCCGCTGGCCTAGACTACTGAAAATGAATTACTGCAATGTAGCACAGCAGTGTTTCACACCGGGTGCTATCGCGAGCGATATCAGCTCGAACACGCGAGCGCGTGGTAAGTACCATCAAAACCAAGATAATGATATACGTGGACGGCGCTGCTGAAACTGGACAAGAAAGTAGACGTGCCCTTCCACGGTCTGTTGGCATTCCCGCTTCGCTAGCGCTGCGGGCAAACGGCAGTTGATTGCAGGAAATTTGCCGCTAGCGATGATAACACGAAGAAAAGTGCACGAAAGACAAAGTACGTCAAATACGGGCACGAAAATGCGCATCCAACACCGCCTGCATATACTACATCCGGCAGCTACGTCACAGCTGATATCTCAGCAGCTACATGGGTTATACAGTGTGAGTGTGCGCGTTACGCAAGTTAATATTACCGCTGGCAGCCACTAACCAGCCGCCGTTTTGCAGCAACGATGCTTAGGCGGGAATGTCAACAGATACCAGAAGAGCACCAACCTTTCCACTTTGTTTCCAACAACAGCCGCTGCGATTCCGCCGATGTAGGGTTCGAGGCTATTTGCCACACGCTCGCGTGTTCGAACTAATATTGCTCATGATAGTACATCAAACACTGAACGCGTGTTGCGCACTTCTTGAACATTGGCCAGCGTATCCAGTGAACACCGCGAAATTCCCAGTGCAAATGGGCGAACAAATTTGACCAAAGCCGGCTGGTAACCAGCCCGTAGTCCTGAGAAAGCCGGCCACGTTCATTCTAGCAATAGCCGAGACGCATCTAGATCGCTGTATTCTGCTTCTGTGGCTCGATGGGTTGATTTTTCAAACGGCGCTACAATGACAATTCACGCTAGTTCCATGAAAGAGAAGAGAAAGCAACCTAATTAAGTGAGGGTCTAAACCTTTTAACTTCTTTTTTTGATCACGCTGTAATTTTTTGTTCTTCGCCAGTGTCCTCCATACTATACAGATTGCAAACTTCGAAGCACAGTAAGTTTCCAGCACATCCGGATGGATATCTTGCAGAGACATCGCTTGTATCAGTGCGCTAATATGGGCGTCGCAAATTTACATAAAAAAGGTCACTTTGAGAATATATAAGCCCAATCATTGACTTGGCCTCTCGTACACCTTAGCTCGACATTCCCAAACGAGCACGAAAGGTATATAAAAGCGCAATTTTTTTTTCTCGCCAGGTGCAAGCTTTGCCAGCAGCGCGGCTGCCTTTTCGATGGATGGATGGATGCTATGAGCGTCCCCGTTATAACGGGGTGGTGACAAGTATGCCACCAGGCTCGACAAAAAAAAAAAAAAAAAAAAAAAAAACCTTTTTTCTTTTTTTTATGTTGGCCTAATGCCTCTACTTCAATAAATTCTATCTTAATGGAAAAAAAGGTAAATTTTCAGCTTAAGTTCTCTGTCATTTACGGCACACTGTCCATATTTTATTTTTCCAATATTTATTTTTGTCCTTTCTCTCTAATTTTCTGCCACCAATACTCTAACCGTCTCTTACTTATTTCAATCGCGGGTGTGTTCAGCTTTCCATTGTTGTCCCTAAAACCCAAGGCTTCCTGTAGGCTCGTGGCCAAACGTACACCTGGGTGGATATCTCCACATTCAATCAGAACATGCTCCGCCGTTTCCTTATCTTTCCCGCAGCATGTGCATTGTTCTTCTTCTTTACTGAATCTTGCTTTATAACTACGCGTTCTAAGGCAACCCGATCTCGCTTCAAACAGTAAAGCGCTTCCCCTTGAATTATCGTAAAATGCCTCCCTCCTTATTTCATTTTTGCCCTTTCGGTAGTTACTCAAAGCCGGTTTTTTCTCCATAGCTGCCATCCAGTAAATCCTCTCCGCCTCCCTGACTTTTCCCTTAACGCTCTTTGTTGACATATGGCTTACAATACCAGCCGTATATTTACTAGTGAGTCTTCTAGTTCTTTTTCTCCACTGTGTGTCCACGCTCTTCTTATACAAATAACGGAACACCTTCTCTGCCCATCTACTCTCCTTCATATTTCTTAGCCTTTCTTCGAACCTTATTTTGCTCTGCGCTTCCCTCGCCTCAAAACCTGCCCACCCCATATCGCCCTTTACAGCCTCGTTTGTCGTCTTCCCGTGAGCACCCAACGCGAGGCGTCCCACAGTCCTTTGATTTACATCCATTCCCGATTGCACCTCTGCCCTCATGCACACCACTGAGTTCCCAAAAGTAAGCCCTGGAACCATTACACCCTTCCACAGACCTCGAAGCACCTCATACCTATTGTATCCCCACAGCGCTCTGTGCTTCATTATTGCCGCATTCCTCTTTCCTTTTGCTGCCGAGGCTTTTTCCTGTACCTCCATGTATCTATCACTCTCATTTACCCATACTCCAAGGTACTTGTATTCACTTACCCTCGGTATTTCTTGGCCTTGTATGGACACCGTCTGATCACAGGGATCATTGAATACCATCAATCCACACTTCGTTACACTGAATCCTAGTCCAAGAGCTTCACCTTCCCTTCCGCATATATTCGCCAGCTGCTGTATATCATCTCGACTGTCCGCAAATAAGACGATATCGTCCGCATAAAATAAACCTGGAAGCTTCTGCTCAATCATCATGCCGCCCTGTTTGTGTGACAGATTAAAACCAATGTTGCTACCTTCTAGCGCTTTTTCCATACTCACCATGTACAGCATGAATAACAGCGGGGACAAAGGACATCCCTGTCTCAGCCCCCTGCTAACCTCAACGTTCTCTTTGCTACGCATTCCTTCCCACTCTATGCAAACTGTATTTTCTCGGTATATCTCCCTCAAAAGCTGTATACAGTCGTCGCCCATGCCCATTCCTTTCAATATATCCCACAAAATTTCCTGATTAACGTTGTCGTATGCCCCAGTGATGTCTAGAAAAGCCACGTACAAGGGCCTATTCTCTATTTTAGATATTTCTATACACTGAGTGAGAACAAACAGGTTATCGTCTAACCGCCTGTCGACTCGAAATCCGTTCTGAAGTTCTCCCAAAATATCGTTATGTTCGGCCCATGTTTCTATTTTCATTTTTACTGCTTGCATCGCCAACCTGTATAGTACCGATGTAATGGTTAGTGGTCTATACGAGCGAATCTTGTCCTTTTCTCCCTTGCCTTTATAGATTAGGTTCATTCTACTTTGTCGCCAACTGTCCGGTATTTGTCCGTCCTTTAAGCTTTTTCTACTGCTTTTAACAATGCTTCTTTAGTGTTATGTCCTAGTTCGTTAATGAGGCTAACGGGAATCCCATCTAAACCCGCGGCAGTGCGCTTTGGAATTTTTCCTTCGGCCTTTTTCCAGTTGAAATTATCAAGTACTAGCTCTTCCTCTGTTGCTTTCTCCGCCACACTTTTACTCACCGGGGAGATCCCCTGGACGCTCTTTTGAAACGAATCGGCTGTTACCTTTTGGATGTAACCTAGCGCTTCGTACCCTTCCAATTGATTTCCTCCTTCATCTAGAATATGTTGTTGCGTTGTGACAGACTTCCTACCTAGCGCCTTTATGTGGCTCCAAAAAATCCTAGGCGCGGCCTCCTTTTTTTCGTGTATCTCTGTCATCCAGCGTTCACTTTCACCTTTAATTTTTGCCTCTATCAATTTCTGTACAAGGAATTTTTTCTCTAAATATATTTCCCATATTTTTTTGACTTCGTCCTGCGGCCGCTTCTCCTTTTTTGCCTTTCTATGCTCCCGTGATGCTTCGCGTCGCTTCTCGATCGCCTCCCGGATTTCCTTGTTCCACCAACTTTTTGGCTTCCTTTTTCCTTTCCAGCAAACAGTTTTCTTCTCTTTCCCTATCTCCTTCGTCATTAGATGTAACAGCTCACTATACTCCCAGTCCTTGCCTGGTATTTCGCCTACTTCTTCCTCGACTCTTGCGGCTATATTTATTATTTGTTTGTCATTTAAATACGAGCTGCCAGACTTTGATTCCATGCTCATATTTTCAGTTTCGTATCCCATTTGTAATGTTATTCGTTTATGATCACTACCCAAGCTGTTAATGCCTTCCTCGTCTATCCTCATTTCTGTCAGTTTGTGGTAAATTCCTTCAGTCATGAGACAATAATCAATACTTGATTGCTTGTTTCCGACTTCCCATGTGATCTGGCCGTCACATTTAGGCCCCGTGTTAACTATCTCCAGACTATGTTGCTCGCAAAGATCTAGTAATAACTTCCCATTGGTGTCTGAATATCCGTCAAGGTCATGTATGTGGGCATTCATGTCCCCTAGAAGGATGATTTCGGCCCCATTACCAAATTCCTTAATATCCGCACTCATGCAATCCACTATCTCCTTATTCTTTTCTCTGCAGTTATTCCCCGTCCACAAGTAGGCTACCCCTAGCCACGTTTCCTTTCCACCTACTGTGCCCAGAACCCAGAGGTGCTCTGAACACGTCTGTTTCACTCTAACCCATTTGGTCTAAACCTTTTCGGCCATACGAAGGAGCGCCGCGGTGCGGAGAGCGGGCCACGCCCACCTCTGGAAACATGTTCTCTCGGCGCGATTGGGACGACTGGAGAGAAACCCGCGGCGCGCCGGCCATCTCGAAGGCCATGCCTCGGTCACGAAGATCAGAGTGGTGAGAAGGAGTTGGCGCCACTAGCGGCATGGCGACACACGTCTTTCTAGCTGTCATTGGCTGGGGCCGTGTGATTGCCCGACACGGCGAGCAAAATATCGTCCCAGTTTGATTGAAGCCAGGCATGCGATGTGGCGGTGCAATGCGATGAAATGCCACAAATCTTCCCCATTCCCACTGCCGCATCGCCGCGCCACACGGCGGATCACACGCAATATTGCACCCTTAGTCTCGCACTTAGGGAGCTTCATTCCGAACGACCACAAGATACACATAAACTGATAATTCGGCACTCAGAACGGGAACCTTGTTCATAGTCTTCTCTTGAGGTCGGTATTCTATTTTTTTTTTTTTTTGAGCGAAGCTTCTTAGGCTTGCACTACTCTGTCACCATCGCCGTCAAAGTTTCCCACTGCATCACTGCTCGTATCCCTCTCTCCTGTCAACATCTTTCTTTTTTTTTTTCTGCCTCTGCCCTCTTCCCGTAAACAAGCGAACGCGCGAAAGCGTCGTTCGTTTCGCTCAGTCGTCCGCTTAGTGGTTAATCCGTCGCTCGGGCCGGCTCACACTGCTCGCACAGCACATCAGTGTTGCACAATGGGCACCCCCGTTAAATTCCAATTCCATTTCAGGGAATTAGCTTGATAAATTCAATTCCTTTCAATTCCTAGGAATTAAAATACTTAGCTCATTCCCACTCCGGGAATGGCCAGGCAATGATTTTTTTCTGAATTTCTTCATTGTAGGAAAGGCATTTTGGTACCTTTAAGGTTAATAATGAAGCTCCATAAAGCTGACGTCATCAGATGCATCAAGAACTGCAAAAGTACGCAAAAGATGCTACCAAAGTCGAAAGTTGTGGCCTGGTCAGCCAGGTAATATATCTTATGCAATACAGCCACTCTACAAATTGACTTGGTGGCACTTGTCCCGCTGCACGTTGTGCTTCAAGAGTCAGCATGTTTGAACCAATGGTGACTTTTTAATTTTATGGAAGTTTAACTGTGTTAAAGGGCCCCTCAACAGGCCCCATATCGAATTTTAGTTAGACCGTGGAAGTTGTAGGGTGTCCGATGAGGAACATTTTGCCACAAAGGCTTTTTTGAATTGGTTCATTACGAGCTGAGAAAACTTTTTTTTTTTTTTTTTTTTGAAGCGGCGCGAAACGAGCATGAGCAAAGGCGGGCTTGAAACCCTTGCCGCTCCTCCGCGTATACGGTCTTCGCAAGCCAAATCTCTTCCCTCTCCTCTCAGCATCCGACCAAGATGTCACGTGCGCATGACGTGCCCGAGTAAGCCCGACCCCCGTGCACGTGTGGAGTTTTTTAAATGTGAAAAATTTGTTACCGAACTTCGGTGACTTTGAGCGTATCTATCTATCTATCTATCTATCTATCTATCTATCTATCTATCTATCTATCTATCTATCTATCTATCTATCTATCTATCTGTGTCTGTCTGTTTGTCTGTCTGTCTGTCTGTCTGTCTGTCTGTCTGTCTGTCTGTCTGTCTGTCTGTCTGTCTGTCTGTCTAGCCGCCTACGACTTTTAACTCTCCTGACCGTATCGATAATGGTTTATATACCAAACTTGGTACGGCATAACATGACTGTACGAAGAACATATATGACTGGTGATGACATGAAAATCATGACAAGTATGTCATGAATCTCAT